TTAACCTTTTGCATTTAAATCTACCATATACCTAAAATTGACTTTTGTGTAAGTGTAATGAAGGGATACTCATTTTTTTTCCCCATGTGACCACTGACCATTGAAAAACCACCCTTTCCTCACTGCACTGCATGCCGCCCTTGTCATAAGTCAAGTGACTGTGTACCTGTGGATGTTTTTAGACTACATTCCAGTGGTCATTTGTTTATCCTTGGGCCAAACCATGTATTTTTTTTTTTTTAATAGTAATTATAAAAGAAGCAAAGTTATTTTTTAAGCCCACAGATTGCTTTGTGTTTGGGCAGTTTGTCTACTGTTACTTCTAGCACTCCCAGCAATGTGACAAGTGTCTTAATGCAGGCTCCAGAGAAACTAATATGAATCTTTCTTTCAGAATTAAGTATTAATGGACTTACTATTACTACCACCACCACCATTGCTACTACATAGCTAACACAAAGTATATACTATGTGCCAGGCACTCTTCTAAGCACTATACACACATTAGCTCATTTGATTTTCTTTAAAACTCTCTGAGGTAGGTATTATTATTCCCTTTAACAGATGAGGAAATAGTCACAGGAAGGTAAGTGAATTGTCTCAAATTACCCTGCTAGTTAAGTGGTGGAACCAGGACTTGAATGCAGGAAATCTGGTTTAGATTTCATGTTCTTAACCACTACCTTTTGCTGCCTCTCTTACAGGCAGTGCAGCCAGGTAATAAGGAGCATTTCTAAGGGGGTGGAGGGAATCAACACCTTGATTATTCTAGACAATTTGACTGTGGACAATCCCTCTTGCCCCTTCACACTCTGGGGTGTCAAATTATTTATTTGAAGGTAGGCTGGTAAACTTAGCTTAAACTCTCTATACACTGTGGCTTGATGTAAAAACTTTTCATGATAGTTTTTCTTTTCAACCTCATTTTTCTCCAAACCCCCCAAAATGTACTGTTCTGTGTTCTTTTATGTGATGGTCAGTTAGGTGGGGCCACAAGAGGAGACACAGGAGAGGCCCAAGAAAAAAAAAGCTTGTTATACTCATAGATTCTAGAAACAGGAGGCATGCTACACCACACAGAGTCACCTGGAAAAGCACCAGTGGTCTGGAAGCGGAGGAATAGGAGTGAAGGGAGAGCCTGGGCAACAGTGTTATTTAGTTTCTGCATTATTGCAGAAAAGGCAAAGCAGGGCAGGATGCACTGTTTAGGATTGGCTTTCTTGAGTAATTACAGCAGGCTCTTAAGCTATACAAGTGGTCCCTAATTGCCAGGTACCTGGTCCTGAGATGATTAAGGCGGAGGGATATTGCCTCCTGAAATATATGGGCCTGGACTGGTTAGTTAGTATATCAAAAGCATGCTCCTGGCTAGGCTATTGGCTTAATTTGTAAGAACTGGTTAGTCTCAGTAGAGCAGGCTTTTCCTAGTCAGAAAAAATTTTAAAGATGTGAAAACATCATAATATACACAAAATGAAAAAAACAAACAATATGTGTATTCGGTATTCAAACTGCCTATAGTACCCAATGGCCATGTGCTTCATCTCAGAGCACTTACTATTCCTTGCTTTAATTGCACTTGCCTTGTTTACCTTGAAATCTTAGATCAAATACCACTTTTCTCAGGTCAAAGCCCTGATGATCACAGATGCACAGTTAAGAGCTTTCCCATATCACACACTGGTGGCTATAGCATTTTTCAGATTGCTGTGATGGTTAGTATACCTGTTTCCTCTTCTAACTGTTAAGACCCTTCTGAGGGGTTGGAGAGTGGGAAGAGGTAGAAGTATTATTTGAATGAATAAATGAATGAGCAAATAAAACTCTCCCTTCCAAAGACAATATTCCATTCTCTTACCTCTTTTTTTCTAATCTGTACCATGAACCATGTCTACAACATAACATGGTGCAATGACATTTCCTTGCCTCCTTTTATGAATGGCTGTCACTTCTACAAGGGTCCTTTCCTGGTGAGGCTGGATGGCTGAAGTAAAAGGCTCAGAATTTCTACTGGTCAGTTATTGTTATCAGTAATCTGAGTTTTAGTATCAGAATTAACTTACTAGCAAAATAGAAAATATATTTGGAGGCAGAATTCCAGTGTTCATAGTTTACCTTAATGAATTAATCCTTACAAGTGATAAGCAAAGGCACTACTTTCATTGTAGAGATGCAGAACGAAGCTCAAAGATGCTGAATGACTTAGTTTAAGGTCCCAAAGCTAGTGACAGGGGCAAAATTTTAATTTGAATCCAAGGCTTCTGTTACTAAATCTGGAGCATTTTCCATTAAGCCACACTGCTTGATATATATGTTTCCCATCAGCTTTTATTTAGACAACAAAAAGGATGCATCCTGCATGTTTGCAATCATTGAGATGGTCATTTCAAATGCTTCTCAATCCAGATAACCAGCAAAACTTTCTCAAAGTTTGTTAGAACAGCAGTATGAAACAAGTAAGCACATATAAACATCTCATAACAGAGAGGCTGATCTGCAAAATTACTTTAGGAGCTAATGCATTTCTAAGGAGGATACAAAGCACATAGCAGCTTGTAAAGAACTTCTAAGTGAACCTAGAGTTAGTTTCATTATGAAATGATGAAGAGACTTATCAAATGTTTCTAAGTAATCAGTAAAACTAGGGATACAAGATGCAACGGACAGTGAGTTGGTACTACAGAAATAGATAAAAGATTATAAATCTAGTGGAAAATTAGGCGCATGATTGTAGAATTTAAATTATGGCAATGTAAACAAAGGAGTCAATGGTGTATGAAAATCTGAACACATTTTTATGTATCTAACCAAAATAAAAATATTGTACAAAACTTGTGTAGGATGACTTTTTTAAATATCTTTTCTGTTTTGTCAGGTGAGTCAACTTGTTTTTTAAACTTCCATTTAAAAACATTCACAATAATATTAACTTCTTATACGTAGAATAAGAATTGGATTTCTTTCATATGTTTCCATGCTGGTATATTTCTCTCTGCAGCTTATTTATAAAGGCATTCATGTACGGTGAGCCTGTACGGTGAGCCTTCCTAAACTATTTGACTTATAAGTCCTCCTTCTTTCTCCTCAGTCATCCTCAAGATCCAGAGAAATTCAACTTTGGCAATGGCTGGGGACCTCTGCCCTGATATGCTGTATTTATTTCTAAATGCTACTTCATGAAATACACTTTACTCAAACAGGGAACAGAAAAACCAAATGTTTTATTCTATATTTTTATTTCAAAAATATAAACAGTATTAACACAGAATTACATTTAAGTATTTGTATAGCATTAACATAGCTGGCAGTAAAAAATGTCAGTTTGGGGGTGAATGATCATTATACTTGAAATATATGGTGCCTTTCAAGTACATGGTGTACAATGAAAAGTATTACTGAAGAACATAATGATGAAAAAATAATAAAGGACTTATTAGCTACATGGCTCAGAATTTACATTAAGTATATTCTGGATCCTAATATTTTTTTTTTCCTTACTTGAAAAAATACAAGCCTACTGACTTAGGAAGACTAAATTTGCTTTCAATAAATCACCCTGTCAGCATAACATGATAAATTTAGTTTATTTGTTATTTACAATCTTTAACATAATAGAAGAGCAAAACTTTGATAGTGCTCTTAAAATGTTAATTTAAAATGTATAAAAAACTATATTGGGGAAAATGTCATGCATTAAAGCTTAATAAAAGTAAATAACATTTCATGAAAACAGTACATTGGCCTAATAATACAGGTATACAAAACAAATGAATATGTACCATTTCTTGAGATGCCTATTAATTCAAAAGTGAATTAGTCTACAGCCAAACAGGGTGAGCAATTAAGATGAGGCAAAAAAAGTCAGCAATATACAATTTTAAATTTCTAAGTAAACTTGAAAATTGTTTTCAACATTAATTTAACCGTAAAATATGTAAAACAAGAAATTATTGAACTAAAAACTAGGCTTGAACTTGGAATCAAATAATTTTTCCAATGTGAGAAAATGTAGGCAAATCCCAGCTTATAAATTAATCTACAGAGACAGATGATGGGGACTGTTTTGATTATCATTAAAAAGTGTTATGGTGAAAGCAACATTTAGATTTTTTTGCCCCATCGTCAGTGTTGTCTAATTTATGAGTTGGTGAATTATATATATACTATATATAATGGAAAAATGTCACTTTCACAAACCAAGTTACATATCAAGTTATAAAAATAAATCTTTCTGTAGATTAAAAACAAATAAAAACAGAATTTAAAAGTTTTAAAAAATATGTTAAACTAACCTGATAATCATGACTTTTTGCCATGATTATATTGTCTAAGTTATCTATCTATTCAATTAATTAAATCAAAAATCGTTGATCCACCAATGTTTTAGATGCCAAATTCTTCTGTCCTACTGTATTACGGATAAATCTAAAAATCTGGGGAAAAAATTAAAACAGTTCAGAATGAAAAAATATATATACAAAGAAAATTAAATATGCACATCAATTAAAATATCTAAATTAAACTAGCTGTGAGCTAAATCTCCAGTGCTTGCCTTTTTGTTATGTTAGCATCTGGTGCAAAGGGTGAATGAGACTCTAATTACTGCTCAAATCTTGTATTTAAGAGATGGGCAGTTTAAGTGTCCTCCTACTAGAATTCCTTTCATGTTTGTTCATGTATGGCCTCCACAAGACCCCAATATTTCATTGACCCTGAAGAAGAGTGTAGAATAATGTTGGTTGAAATGTTTTTGGTTTTTTTTGGTAGGGTTAATCATATTCTAAAACTTTATAAATCCCTAGTGAAAGCTGACATTGTTACTTTCTGCTATAAAAATAAATATCTAGTTCCAATATATTTCTTT